ATTGTATTTGTAGATTTTACAACTCCATCAATCAATAAGTATCAAAATCTCTTTGGTTATGGATATGCCACGATGTTGTAAATGCTTTAAATCATAATGCTCGTATAACACACCAGATACGCATATCGGATCAGTTTCCAAGCACAATTGGGTCTGTTCATTAATCATGATAGGTCTTGAATAAGGAATTTAGATCAGCTATAAAATATAATTGGGACTGCATCACTTAGAAAAACTTATTTCCCACTAGCATTGTTTCTTTCTATACAGTCTCTTCAAATTCGACCTGTGTCCACACTCTTACTAACCAAAACCAATCTCAAAACTCCCCCTTTAGATAATCTGCACCATTTAAGACAGTTTATGGATGCAGCAGGAAAGGCCAAAGTTGTTCCCTAACTGATTTGGGTCACAAAACCGCATCACGTAGGTTTAAGAAGCTGATCTAATGCAACCTAACAGATGGATATGAATACATTACCTTTGCGACAAACCCTCTGTGTGCAGCAGATCTATTCTGATCAGGTGGAGTAATAAACCTGCACAAAAGAAAAGGGTTGAATAACTGGAAGTTTTTGCAGGAACAAGCCACCTATAAAGAACATCAGAAGCCTAGAGTACATAAAAGTTCTGATACCGCCTTCTTGATAATAAACAATTAACTTCTCACCACCATAGAATGATCTAAGAAGAAAGCCATGTAATAAACGGATACAGAAAGAGCCTTTTTATAATAGACAAAGCAACACTTCGATCCTAGCGCTCTCCGTGCACATAAAGCATGTAGCCGGCAATGAATACTGAAGGCCATTACTCCAAATTTCCCAGTAGCTAAACGAAAAAAGGGCAGTTCTTGAATATATTGTACTTATCAGGAGTGCGTCTGGTCTGGACAAAGCAACTTCTTTAAGCCTTTATTAGGGACTAAGCAGATGGCCTGGACGATCATACAGTAACCAGTGATAAGTAATCGTGCATCTGGGCATTTGAGTCCTCTATGCTGTCCCAGTAACCATGCATTAGTCATTTCAATGTAACAACAAGAGACAAACAAACCCAAGACGCTACACTCTTCAGGACATAGTTATAAGTCAAAAGTTTTGACTCAAAACTCAACATTTAGGAGGCTGATATGAATGCAACTGAGTTCTGTGAATTCCTTGCGATAACATCACAGACCATGTAAAATATCATATTGCTCCAACTTTGGTAAATCTGACAATTAAACACTGACTTCAAGCAATATCAGAGAAACTGTTGAGGAAACTCTAAAGCCAATGATCAGCAAAGTCTCTACTCAATCTTAATGAGCTTGAACTCCTTACTTTACCTAAAATCTGCCAACCCATGAATGTTTAGTTACCCCTCCAAATACCCAACTACACGATTCTGAATTGCTATCATGAACCAGGGTTACACATTCATCAATCTGATGACCATCCATCATCCAAGAAGGGAATAACAAAACACGAATATGCAAATCAGAGTTGCTTTCCACAGAAACACCCTACGGTAAAGAGCTTATAAGCTTCTTGCAGCAGAAATAATCGAAGATGATAAAAGTAGGCCATGTTAATAAACAGATGAGAGAGTTTTCTAGCAGTCTAGACCTTGATTGATTCGTATTAGTCATCCTTCCAGTTTTATAAGGTCTACCACGGAGCGGAGTAGCAGAAGCGGCTTTATGAGCAACGTTTGTTGTTATAGGAAACTGATTTCCTTGGAAATGAGACCTTCTCTTAGCAAAAGCACCCTGAATAAGTCACAACAAGAACACAAGAAAGATGTATAAATGATAAGACAAAGAAGCTAAGACAAAGAATTGACCCGAGAACACAACATATACTAACCTGTCTAACATCAGACCGTGAGTCCATATAACGCTGTGCCTTTACCGCGCTATTTTTCGAAGCACCATTAAAACTCTCCTTTTTATTCTGCCTCAAAACAAATGCAAACACATACAAGAAAATGTTCAATAAAGAATCAAAAGAGACATAAATTATCACAAAAGACAGTAAAACATGAAAGCTATGACAAGTTTTAAGTTATGTATTACCGATGTTCTTTGTTTCTTGCCCTTTTTCACATTGGTATTGCTCTTTGACATCTTGATAATAGCATCTATGCCCACAAACAAAAATAAAAGAATAATCATGACCAATCAAATCAGATCTTTGTATGAGTTAAGAACAAAAAACAAAACATAAACACACCTAAAGACATATCCATTTTCTTCTCGGTGAGGGCAACAGTCTCTGTAGTAATAGGTTTTTCAGTCGCCATCTGCAATATTAGACCATTAGAGATGAAATAACAAATTAAACCAAAAATCCAAGTTAAAGAAACAAAGAAACCAAGCAAAATGCTATAGATATGAAACGTAATTATACAAAAACAAACCATAGTACACTCTACGACTAACATCGAACAGTTAATACACCAAAAATCATAAAGTTGCTGAATTCATGAGAAGCAAGAAAGGAGATTCAGAAGAGATAAGAAACCCTTTTTTTTTTTGTTTTAATTGCTAAACCCAAATTGACCGATTTCAAGAATCATTCAAAGAAAATCTGGCATCGTGAAAAATAGTTGAAGATTAAAGAGATGGAATCTTTACCGATTTAGGAAGTCAAAGGCGTGAGACTGTACTGAAAAGGTTTTTTTTTGGATCCGAAGACGAGTGAAACCAGAGAAAACTGAGTCAACTCGTGAGTACTTGAAGCAAAACAATAAAAAAAAAAAGCAGGATTTTTATCTATCGAATGGTCTCGGCGGATCCAAAAGGTTTTCGTCCATGCACACGTGGCACATTCTCATTGGGAGCAGATGATTGGATGCTTTTTTTTTTTTTTTAATTAACTCAAATTGTTGTAGCCTTGTAGGAGTAAGTATATAGTTAGTGTTCGATGAAATGTCCCAAAGAAGTATTATCCGAGTGTACTTCCTTTTTCATGGACCCGCTTGAGAAAGAGCATCATTCATTTAAGTCCAAAAAGCTTTTAGGCATAAGAAATGACAATGGACATAGCTACTCTCTATTAAGCTAAAAAATCCAGCTCTTCTAAAAATGACTATTCATTTCTGCAAAATGTAGGCTGTTTAGTGTTGTGGTTTACAAGATTTGACAAAATACTTGATGGGTTTTGTACCACTCTCATGAGGAACCTAGCTAAATTTAATTTGAGAAATCAAAGATCACTCATTTTGAAATCCATCTAGTTGCCATTTAGTTGTCCTAACAGTCTTAATACAATGCTAATCAAAGTCCTTCATGTAGAAAATGAATGGTCTGTGATTAGAATAATCGAAGTCTTTTATATGCAATGTAGTTGATTGGAGACTTTGTGTTTTGTACTTAAGCTTGTGTTGCAGCAGCCAAAATTAAAACTGTGGAGGCGCCTCAAGAATGAGATGATATAGAAAGACTCTACGAGTTGATAGCAGAAGATCCACAAATTCTAAATCACTTTTGATACCACCTTTGTAACGCCCCCGATCATTGGTCAGCGCCCTTTTGACCGAGAACGCTACATACCGCCCTGAGAACGGTCGGTCCCAAGTCTCGGAAACAAATTCTAAGACTCGGAACTAACTGCTCACGGGGGTTGCCCGTTTTGTCTCGATCCTAAGGTTTTGCAATCCGAATCGTGCCAGAGCGGTTGGTTTGTCCGGACTGGACTTAATATCATTTGAAACTTTAAGATTTTACCAAAAACACTTTATTTAATATAACTTAGGTTCCAAACGTACATTCCATAAAAACTAAAGCTAGCATGAGATCACGAGCTCAAAACGGTTTATAATATCAGAAAGCATAACTAATTTACAAGGGACAAGAGAAAACTACCGCTGGTACTCCTAAGTCTTGTGCTTGAACCCAGGTCTACCCCCTAAGTTCA